ATGCGTGTTTTACATTTTTGCACTTATATGTATGCTACATTTTAATAAGAAAGTTTTAATAATCAATTACATACTTGCAATTAGAGCAGTAAAGTTTTTCATGCAATATAGATATATTTAATATCTACAAATCTATAAATTTAATACAACAATATGGATATATTGTTTAACAATATAGATGTATTAAATATATCTATATTGTTGAAAGCACACAACTTTGAAATACTGCATAATATACATGTCTTCAAATGGATGCTTTAGATAAGAATAAAAACTTTATCCTATAGTAAGTAGAATTATTTCAGTTGTGCAAAGAAATTTACTACGCATTGCCAAAAATATTATAGAATGCTTTTATAATGTATTTAACCAGTTACTTCTACTTTAAGACTTAATACTGAAACCCTACAACACTTTTTAAAACCCATTAAATGTATATAAAATAGCAAATATAAAGTCTCCAGTTAGTTCTTATAGTAAAAACATATAACCATTATTGGGTATTTTCTACTTATATGTTACTGTTTTAATGCCTTTATAATTAACTCATCCTACTTCACAAAGTGACAAAGAGAGAGGCTAGTGTTATTTCTCTTTAAAAAGGAAGGATTGATGGCTCATGGAAGTCAAGTTCTACTTAATGTCTGATGACTAGTGAAGTTTCATAAATCTAACTTAGGTGTCTTAAGTTCTATTTTAAAACATTGCATCTCATTGATTTTACCTCCCCAAAACCAAACACAGAAATTCTATTCTTACATGTCCTAGTAGAAGATGAATTTCTCAACATGTAGTGATAGATGAGACACAGGGTTATGCAACTGTACAGTGAGTGAAGTACTAGATGTGAATATATACTCACTTTGCAAGTGCAGTGAGAGAAAAACCCATAAAAATACATTTTAAGATAACGCCTAATTATGCACATAAATAGAAAATAAGTTTCATGGAGGAAATATAAGAATGTCTAAGGAATGCATCATCTTTGTAGAAATGTATGTTAGAACACTTTGGGCTGCAAGAAACTAAATATTCAAGTCAATGTGACTTAAGCATGTATTTATTATCTCTTATAGCAATAAAAATGGGGGGCGGTGGTAGATGTTCCAATAACTGGTCAATAGCAAGGAAATTCAGACACTGCTGTACTGCTTGACTGGGGAGCTAGGTCTTTGCCTTCAGGCTTATTGTTCTTTGCTCTATGACATCTACATCTTTACGTTTCACAAGCTTACACAGTTACAAAAGAAAACCATTGCCAACCCCTGTCTTCATCCCTAACTAGGTGTCTTCCTTCCTTTCAGAAGCAAGTGTTGCATGACATGCCCATGCTAAATCAATCACTGGTAGCAGGGAACGATTGTGATGATCGATGGGCTTTCACTAATCTACATTCACCAGCGAGAATGCCAGAAGCCAGCTTGCCACGAGAAGGTGGACACCCCTAGTAAATTGGAGGCTATGAGCTTGGGAGGAATAAAGGTGTGGAAGCCTGATTATTGGTCAGGCAACCAAGAGAGTCTGCCACAAGAAAGAAGTAATGCTAAAAACAACCATGGCTTTACAAGTAACAGCTTTAGCCACAAACCAAAGTGCCACTTTAACATGAATTTTATGTGGAAGAAGATGTTTTATTCTGTCTGCGCACAGATTTCTCAACAATAAATAAAAATCTGAACAGTATCTGTTTTGAGAATCCAAGAATATTGTTTGATTTTATTCTTCATAATGGCATATATTGGGAAAGGCAAGATATATTATTGAAATGTCAATGTTTAACATAGTGGATATTTAAGTTATTCTTTTATATTAAAATATGAACTACAGTGCCTTTATTGGAAACTAATAAAAAACAACAGTCAAAAGCTGTATCTGTTTTTCTTGTCTGGAGAAAGGTTTGGAATTAAAACCTTAAAACCAAATTTAGTTTTATTTAACTAAAATAAAGCCTTTATATATTAGATTTGTCCATTGTATAGGAAAGCTTATAAATGACACATTCAAGAGTTATCAAGCTCATTTCCTTATCATTTTTAGTTCTTCCCTACTTAAGTTCTCCTTGGAAATGTTCAAATAATATTATTACTTTTAATGTTTCTTAATTTTTTTACTCAAAAATTGTAGTATAGAACAACGTTCTGCAGGAGCAAATGATTTTTCTTTTACCATGAACTTTGGAATTTTAGGAGGAAAAGTTGCTTCCTGAACCCCGGGTATGGCAATTAGGAACACCGATTCAAAAAGTGCATATTTAGACATGTTTTTGTGCTGTGAAATCACACCTAAGAAAGTTTTATACATGCCAGAGCTTTTTTTTTTTTTTTTTTTGGCTTTGTGCTTGCTAGACAAGCACTCTAACACAAAATCCAGTCCACAGACGCTTTTGGTTTAGTTGTTTTTCAAATAGGGTCTTGCACTTTTTGCTAGGCAGGCTTCAACCTGAAACCTTCTTTCTAAGCCTCCTGCCTAGATGGCATTACAGACATGCACCACCTCCTCTAATTTGTTTGACTTGAGCCACTGCACGTGCTAGGTGCACCAGAACTTTACACCTTCTGATAGGTAAGCTTCCCTTTTCTTCTTTGTGAGAGGAAACAAGTTCTCATGTTCCACAGAGGCTTAGGGCTGAGATTTTTAGGTTTGATTGAGCAAGAAGTGCAGTTGGATGGTGGAAAGAGACAGCAGTTGAGATGACATAAGAATCACTACCAGAATGTTTTTACCGTGTTTGGTCACATGCAAGATACTCCAGCATTTGGACATAAAGAATATTGAGATTATAATTCACTACCGAACGGAAGTAGGTAAATAGATAAACGTTTTTAAATAAAAATGTGCCTGTAGAATCAGCACACTCAGTGGGGTGAGATTTTAGGAATTTAAAATTAGTAATTTTCCTACTCCAAATTGTAACATGGCCAATAGAGGGCTAGCCCTCTTCTTTCATGGTCATTGTAGGGCTGAGGTTAGAGTTCTTGCCAATCTAGCACTGCTAAATTAATTTCTATCAGTTCCATTAATGTATACAAACATAACAGGAATCATTTATTTTGAGAAGACAAAGATGTATTTGAACTCTCAATTGTTAGGCAATCTCGAATCACAGAGCACCCCATCATTCTAGAAATCCCTTCCCTAAGTGATCTTTATCAAGGTTTGATGGAGCAAAGAGAAGGACTTCTCCAGTCTAGACACTAGGTCCTGGAGACAGATGGAGACCTCTGGAGAAAATAAAAGGAAAAGCCTTTTCTGTGCATCCCGCCCCCCAGCTCTCCTTTTGTGTTTGCAAGATTGAAGGTGTGCAGTGCAATCCACACCACCTGGTGCTGTCTGGGTGGGCTCGAGTTCTGTAAGGTTGTTAGACGCATTTTAGCACCCTGTCAGAAAGGAACTAAGAGGATCTTTGAAAGCGCAGGAGCTCAGCCCGGCGGGAGATGCGGCGGGGCCCTCCTTCCACACACCTCCTTCGGAGTCTAGACTTTCCCCGCCTGGGTCTCCAAGCCCAACGTCGATCCACAAAGGCCCTGCGCCCTGGCTCCCTCCGCGGGATAGAAGCAGGGAGGGCTTGGGCGGGCCTTGGGCCAGCGCAGGGTGGAGGTGGAGATGGGGGTGGGCGAGAAGGGGCGCTCACGTCACGTGCGTGCGCAGGGACCGCAATAAATGTCCGCGAGCGCCAGCGAGCTGCGGAAGCGCTTGGCGCCTGGCTCTGCGCGCAGAGGCTGCACCCCGCCAGAGCGCGAGGTCGTCGCCGAGTCCTGCTGCTGTGTCCCCGCCCCTCGCTCCTGCAGATTAGGCTCGGAAACCGCCTGGCGCTCACCCTGGCAGGCTAACCGGGCTACTCCCTCTCTGCCAAAACTCGTCGATTGCCTTTGGGATCTCTTTGCTTGCCTCTTTTTCCCGGTTTGAAAGGAACCGCGGAGACAGAGGTTCGCGCCCGCTGCGGTCAGCACCCTCCTCGCTCAGGGACGCAGCGCGCCCGGGTCGTTCCGGAGCAGAACTCTCTGGGTGCAAAGCAGTGAAGGCTGGAGGCGGCTGCGGAGGCTGTGCGTCCTGCTCCGCTCAGCTGTCCTGGGACATTGCATGCTGGAGGAGGTAAGGTCAAGCTGCCGTTTCTCCTAGCTCACTTTTGCTTTGCAAAATCTGAGTTAACAGAAAAAATAGAGACCTGTAGAGAACGGGTGGGCGCGGAGGGGAGGTGGCTACGCGGAGCCCGGGGCTGTGGAGATGTCCGGGAGCTTATGCTTGGAAATGACTTTGTTGGATTCACCCCTTGCCGCGGGCGCGCGCTTCTTGGGGGTTGGAGGATCGCTGTGTCGGGGAGAAAAGCCCTGAAGTTCCTGGGGGCTGCTGTGCGCGCCACTGGTTAGGCACAGACGTTAAGGACACAGAGTTCTTGACCTGTTCCTGGACAAGAAGAGACTTCCTCTCGGGATCCGAACCATTCATTCGCAGTAGTTCATAGTCTTCTTCAGGTGGATGCATGTATGAACAGCATTTTGTACTTTAAAACGTTCACCCTAAGTTTGAGACCACTATGAAGGTCTGTGAACCAGAATTGGAACGCTGGGATAAAATAATATCTTAAATAAAATATGATACCTGAAAATTCTATAAAGAAACATGGACCTCTACATCTAAATAAAACATAGTTGGATGATACCTTTTGCAGGCTATATGTCATCTGTAACCGTTTAAAAACCTTATAATTCATAAATTATTTTCAAGCTTCGACTCTCCTGGGCTCCTTTTGTGGTTTAGTTTTGTTGTCATGGATATCTTAGAAAGTATAGTTATTTATTTTGTGGAAATTTCATTGTAAAAGTCCTCTGGGGGGAAAAAGGTAAAGATAAGATATTTCACAGTGATATCCATTTATTGCTGTTATGTAGACCAATCAAACTGGCACGTTCTCCTTGTAATTACTGTTTTGCTTCTGTTATTAGAAAATTAATATCTGCCAATATTTTCAACCTAACCACGTGACATGTCATTATAGCCAAAAGGAGTGGAAGAGCCTGTCTTGGAGATTTTCCCGGGGAAATCCTGAGGTCATTCATTATGAAGTGTACCGCGCGGGAGTGGCTCAGAGTAACCGCAGTGCTATTCCTGGCTAGAGCAATTCCAGCCATGGTGGTTCCTAACGCCACCTTATTCGAGAAACTTTTGGAAAAGTACATGGATGAGGATGGTGAGTGGTGGACGGCCAAGCAAAGAGGGAAAAGGGCCATCACAGATGATGACATGCAGAGTATCTTGGATCTTCATAATAAATTGCGGAGTCAGGTGTACCCAACAGCTTCTAATATGGAGTATATGGTAAGGACATTTTTCAAGTGGTATATAAAAAAAGAAATGCTTATTTATACTTTCAGCCACCATGGTTACATTCCTTCACTCTGTTCTTTAATCCTTTACCATCTATCCTGTATGTAATAAAAGAGATTTTCTTCGAGGATATCTTTCTCTGCACATTCTTTTATTAGTGTTCCTCTTTTTTCTAAGAGCTCTTTCAATTTCAGAGTAGAATTAAATACCTTCAGATGCAGTATTCTACTAAATAGTCTAAACTCTGCTTTTACCAGGAAGGTTAACATGCTGCTGAACAGCCAGTGTATTTATTGGCTTTTAAATCACTTAGTAGAACAATTATGCCTTAATGCCTAACTGATAGAACTTTCTTTTGAATGGTGGATGTGGAAATTTCAGAGACTAAAAATTTGAAGAAAGTTTTGAATTGCTGATTCATAGACACACATATATACATATATATATTTGTTTCTTAGAAAATATGTAAATAGCATTGTAAAGGATACTTTTCTGTGGCTGCTTTATGATGACTTTATGTTAGAATGCTTTGGCAAAGGAGCTGCTTGCCAATGGGTTCACTGTATTTATTATTTGTGAGGTTTAAAGTATAAAAATAAGCCTGGGCAAAAGATTAAATAAAAATATTTAACTTATCCTTCATAGTCTTATATTTACTCAGTGTAAGTTAGCAAGTTTGAGAAACAAAATTACTTCTTTAAGACTATTAGCATACCTTATGTATTTAGAAAACTTTTCAAAAATCTAATATCTTACTCCACAAAGTAAGAATGCAGTAGCAAATCCTGACAATGAATAGTAGTTTGTGACAGCAAAGCTTATTTAAGGAATATTAGAAATAATATTTCTTCTTTGGGTACATTTCAGGGCGTAGTTAATTTGAACACATTCTAGTTTTTCTTTCTTTTTGTATTTGTATTAGGCATTCTTCATTTAGGTAACTTTAAAGAAACATGGAAGTATTCCAAATTCCCCATTACTCATTAAAAATTGCATTATATTAATTTAATTCTTATTGGAACAAAAGATTTTACCTCAAAGACAGTGGGTAGTAACCAAGAGAACTCATCAGAGAGTAAGAATTGGAGCCCCGGGAACTAGGTGGCCAGGATTTAAGATCTGGCACCGAACCCCACTAGCTGTGTGACATTGGGTATTTCCAAATTTCAGTCTACTTCATATCCTTATGTCTAGAATGATGTGTGTTCACTCTGGAGGGTTATTAGGAATATGGAATGACATAATTTTATAAATTTCAGTCCATCAGTAAACATACCATAAGGTCTCAGTAAATGTTGCTAAGACATATTTCATAATTTTTTATGTCTCCTTATACTGTTTAAACACAGTATCTAAAGAAATCCCAATTCTTCACAAAATTCTAGGCAGAATATAACATCTCTAATTTCTTATATTTCTGCTGCTTGTCTATTTTAAATGTTTGTCCACAGTGAAAACACTGTGACTTCTTCATCTGTTATCTTTCAAACAGAGTCAATTATGTAGACTGTCCAAGTCTCCCACTGTATACTTATTCTATGTGGACAAGCATTTAGTTGCTTTTTATTTAAAATAAGAAAGAACTTGGGAGTTCAAACACACAAAGGGAAATCTGAGAGTTTCTCTGTGTGATTTAAGTAATATGGAAATCATGAAAGAACAGTTCTATGATTTCTTTTCATGTCTGATTTAAAAAAAATAACTGCCTATTGTATGATGTCTAGCCTGGGATGTTTATATGGGTTTCTTTTCCGTTTCATTGGTTTCTTTCTATCCTTGAAATGTAGATTCAGAAACCAGCCAGGGTTTGTGTTGTGTTGCCCTTAGATACTATTAGCACTGGAACTGTGTCTTGGCCATTGACCAGGCTGCAGAGAAGCTCAGTGTCCCACCGTAATACTGAAAGGTATTTTTTTAGAATGCACATTTAAGAGGAAGTTTAAAAAATACCACTTATTAGAAATACTACTGATTTGTGTTTTTAATAGCTGTGTAAGTGGATGTTGATCAATCTTTTAAAATATAATTTATTCAATTAGTTATTTTGAATGTTTTTATTCGAATAAAACAAAATTAAAAGCTGGCCAAAGGACCATTTCCTGTAAAATCTGCAGTGCCCTATGATAAATGCCATCACCTTTGGCCACTTACACCCTATATATCCACTTCATCTTATATGTTTGGAAAGCTAGATACCTTATTTACAATTGGTACTTATTTTAGTTCAAAGGCCGCCAACCCACGTCCACACTTCTTATTGTCACATCCCCACTCTTATCCTCATTTCAGTTGTAGGGTTAACAATTAACTCTGGAAAGGTGCATCATCCCTTGAAGAGTTTATAGATTCATTGAGAAGAAAGAAGAGGTACACTTGAAAATTTTCTAATAAAAACTGACACAAAATTCTTTATGTCTATGAATAATGCCAATGGAGCACAGAATAGTGAATATTACTAATTGTGAGTACACGAGAGAGGAGGATAAGGTTTGTGTTATTTGTTGAAGGTGGTCGGCACTATGAGTTGTAGGAAAGAGAGGAGGGCGTAGGTCAGTTAGAGGAAAGGAGCACACAGAGGCAGAATGGTAGGAATTGTAAGGCTAGTTACAGAGAACTGGAAGTGGATTAGGCTGATGAAAGCACAGTGCTGTGATGGAATCAAGGAAGGGAGAAATGAGTCATGACACAGAAGTCAGTAATCCCAAGGAGAGAGATAAGTTTTAACTCAGGGTGAATTGAGAAATGGGAGCCTTTAAATAATCAAATGAAGCTGCTGCTGAAGAGGAAGTAGATTTTAGAGGGAAGTCACTGGCTTTGGATCTAAGTAGCAGCAGGGTCACATCTTTTCTCTGCTTCTTACTGGAATTTGAACTCTGACAGTAGGCTACCATTCCAGGCATTGTTTCTTTCATTGGTTAAATTGGTAGAAAAATATAAAACCCAGAGGTTGTGGTGAGATGAGACATTTGATACTATTGAACAGATCCCATTTCTTCAAGCTTTATCTTCTATGTGTTTTAAGACCTTTTCATTTGATTTCATCCCCATGACTTTGTTTCCTGCTCATCTCTTATAAGTTCGTTCCCCAGTGGTTTTGTTTTGTTTTTATTTTTTTGCTTTTCTCCTTCTTCCTTCCTCCAGGGCCTTCTTTACTCCTTTGACTTTAAAGAGCATCATGTATTCATGGCTTGTGTTCTATATCTCAGTTCAACAGCTGCCTCTGTACTTCTTTCTTATATTCCCTGCTGTTCATTGGATCATTTCAGTGAATATCGTTGCACAGTAATGTGGAGCAGAAGATGTCTGGAAAGGAAACTAACTGCCATATCTTCTTCCTCTACCCGTACCTGCTTAACTTCTTTTGTCTTGGATTTTTTCTCAATGAATATCATTGATACAGCCTCAGTTAGGCACATCCTTAAGTCTTGCCACTAATTTCCACACACAGAAACAAATACACAACTACTTGCCAAATTCTATAGAGTTCAACTCAGGAATGTCTTTTGAATTTGTCTCTACTATTTCATCCTCATCTCTGCTTCTTATTTCTTACCTCCATTGATACCACAGCTTCCCACTGAGCAGACTTTACCAATCTGTCCTTATTTTATTTCTAATTTTGCCCACTTTTTGCAGACTTTTTCTCTAAAAAAAAATTTGTGCTGTCACTCAGCTGTGCTCATATGTTAAATAAAGTAAATGTTTATTGATTATATATTATTGAAGGATCAATAATTATGTGTTAGATGAAAGGATGAGTGAAAGAGTAGGTGAGCTAATAGATGAGACAACTATGGAATACAGGTAAAGAAGATGAAATAAAATAAGAGGTCAAGATGGTAAGATAACACTAACACCAGAGACACTATGTGGAAATTGAAAACACTTCAGGGAAAGGCATAAACACTTCAAATAATGCACAAGCATTTTTCTAGTTTTAGTATCCTATACATAGGATACTAAAAATAGTGCAGTTATAATCGAGCTAATAGTAAAGACATTAAAGTGTTCTGAAATTTAAAGGATAAAATGAATTAATGGATTATTTACCTCTTGTTACATTATAGACTGACTAAAATCCAAAATAGTTTACTTCTGCACAAATCATGCCTATATCTAGAATGTACTTTAGCACAGGACAATTGGCTTAAAAAGGACACACAGAGTAATTATATAAACCATTTCTTACTATTACCACTGTTTCCATGTCTCTGAGAACTGTTGGCAGGCTGTTGGAGGTTGAAGGTTATGTGTGTTTACTCTCACCTCACATGTGGTAGAACCTTGGCGTGACACTTCTCCAAACGTAGAACAAGATGCATCTGAATATCAGGAGTGGGGTGGCAACAAAAGGCCCAGAGCCTGGTGGCACTTTCAGGCTGTAGTGCATGTTGAGGCAACTGAACGCTTGATTCCAGTTCATCACTTACATTCTTGCTATGGCCATGCTTAAAATTGGAAATCAGGTTTTTTGGGTTTGTTTCTTCTTCATTTCAGTATAACACATAATTCTAGAAACTGGACATGGAATAACCCAGTTTGTTGAGCAGGGTGATGCTAGTCTGGGATATGTGAAAGTGAGCTTTAGCTTGTGAGTTGCTCTATTTATTTTCATAAATCTGTATTTTCTGTCACCAGGAACATATACCCAAAATAAGTGCTGATGAAAAGATGTTGGCTTCCTAGCTTGTTTACACATAGCTGAGTGTTTACACGTTACTTAATCTAAAAGTGTCAGGAATTCATTGAAATTAAGGTTTTATTGAAACTCTTGATTCTAAAGAAGTAGTTTTCTCTTTATATTGGTGCTTGTCTGGTAATTTTCAAAAGTTAAATATTTTTAGCTTTTATATACACTATCTGTATGCAATAAAGATTCATAAATCTCTGTTGATTCATAAAGGATCATGATTTAAAGTTATTAAAATTTCTCTATTCTAAATTTAAAACAGTCTAACATTTCTAAAATATTTTTATTTTACTTTAATATT